CCCCCCCCCCACCACACACACACAAAACTCAAAAAAAAAAAAAGAAGATAAACAGTTTGAAGTTTATTAACCTTAAAAAATATCATGAAACTCAGGCAATTTGCTCAACGATCAAGGGTCAGAAAGCTTCAGTACATAGCTGAACTGGAAAGAAACGTACAAGTTTTGCAGGCATGTATCAGCTGAACCTTTGAAATATGTATACCAGCACCTGGATGTGAAATGGATGTTGCTTTTTGATAAAAATTGTAAATCTGACTAGTTGCTATGATTTCAGGCTGAAAGTTCTGAAGTGTCTGCAGAGCTTGAATTTCTTAACCAGCAGAATCTTATCCTCAGCATGGAGAATAAAGCCCTAAAGCAGCGCCTAGAAAATTTAGCTCAGGAACAGCTTATAAAGTATTGTAAGTTTCTTTATCTGTTATACTGAACTATTCTACCTGTTTCCTGTGTTGTAATCTTAACTATTTTGATAAACTTGATTGTAGAGCAGGTATTGTGAGTGCAAACCCTACATAGCTGGGAGTTAGGTTTATCTGAATTAAGTATCATATGATTGATGTTTTCCACTGTGAATAAAAGTATAACTGCGAGATATTGGTTCACGCAAGTTGGGAAAGTGGGCGCAATTTTCCTGGAACTAAAAGGTTTCCGAGCAACGTTCAATTTGATTAGCAAAATAGCTATCTCCAGGAAATTTGGTGACCATTAGTGGTCATCCCACAATACATCATTTTTGGTGGGAAGACAATGACCTTGCTGAAAATCCATGACTCTTTGAATTAATAATTTTGTTTAATTGCTTTTCTTTTCCCACACCCTCTGTGTGGGAAACTAGAATAGTCTTCCTTGAAATCTTGTACTACTATAATTAGCAAAATATGTCACTTTGGAAAGCATAACTATGCTTGCTGGGACTCGATCGTTATTATTTGCTATAAGATGGAAAATCTGACCAGGTCAAAGTTTCTTGAGAAATAAAACAGTGCTAGTCTTTTCTACTGCATCTGGATGACCTTAATGTGAACTGGCCCCTGTTTTCTTTTTCAACCCTTCAAATAGCTAATTTTACCTTTGTAAAGAAATACAAAGGATGAATGTTATTCCTATTTACCTTTGGTGCAATCATAGCATGCAGACAAACATAGATTATTGGATGATTTTGTGGAGTACAATATCGTTGCTTAGCTCCTTTGTTGACATATATCTCTTCTGTACTTTTTTGATAACATTGAAAGTTACTTTACTGTCCAAATAAAAGAAAGAAGGAACGTTCAAGTTTGCAACTATAAGATGCTAAATAATTGATCTTTCTCATATAAAAAATTTGATGCTAAATAATTGATCTTTAATTCCCCTAATTGCAGTTCTTTTTCCTTGATTCAAAGACTTTGAATCAAGGAAACTACCAATGTTGAAATAACTGTTTTGGACATGGGAACTGATCTGTTTTACGGGATAGTGGTCTTTAGAAGCAGTGAACGTTTATACAGCCGGTACTTTATTTCATTAGTTTCATCGAAAACTACCACTCATAAATTTCTCATGCAGTGGAGCATGAAGTTCTGGAAAGAGAAAGAGGAAGGCTGCGAGCATTGTATCAGCAACAACAGCAGCTACAACAACCATCTTCCAGTCATCGCCGCAACAGCAGTAGGGATCTCGATCAGCAATTTGCAAACCTCTCTTTGAGACACAAAGAGGCCAACCGTGATCCTGTTTCAGGACAACTTCACATTTGACCGGAAATTAGCTACAACTTCAATCACAGCTTACTGACTTTCCCTCGTCTGATTTTGCCATGGAATAACAAAAGTTTACAAGTTCCATTGTTGCGCGATCAAGACGAGGTCTTGCCTCTCTCGTGCTCACCTTCAACGGGTTTACTCTTCTACTATCTAGAATTGGTTCTAATTCTTGTGACAACATGTGTCTTTACATCAACATTTGTTAAGCTTTTACGTGCACCTGGTGGTCAATGCTAAAGAATAGCATTTGTGACAGTTGACTCACCTGAGGTGGTTGATTCCAGCATGTATGTTCCAAGTGATTAAATTAATCACTTCCCCTTCATCTTTCTGTTGTAACATTATCCAGCTTCTGGTTCCACCACATTTATCTTCATGGATACATTTTCATGACTATGTAATTTAAACATTGATTGTGGACTCCTTTCAGTTCATTCCTTATTTCGTTTTAAGGCAATAAAAGCTTCTATGTTAATTACTCCATTTGTTTCAGTTCATATAACACTATTTTTGTTTGGGATAATTTCGAAATTCGGTATCAGTCTTCCACTGATAACATTATTCTGTATAATTTTACAATTTTCTAGCAAAGCTATACAATTTTCTAGCATTCAAATTCATCTAAATTATTCAGATGTGTATGTTTTCTTTTTGAGATGATTCTTTAACTAGTGTTTTATTCCAATATCTTAATCTTCTTTCACTACTTGTAGTATAATAAATCAGTTTTGTGTGTTTAATACACGCAACCCAGGTATAGCAAACCCTAACTTATCTAAAATATTTGATAGAATAAGAAAATCATATTCTATTTCGTTAGGATTCACTGCTGAGACATGTAACCTGTAAGGAAAAAGGGATATACACTTGCCATATCATAGAAAATCTTTCAACTTCAATAAAACGATCCCAATTGTTATCTCTTGATGAGTTATCAAAATACAGAAAAATAGACATTAAAAATAATAAACGAATTACTATTTCCAATCAATCAACAAATCACTCAATCCTCTGTTTCTTACCCTTATTATTACTAACAAAACCAGCATTCTTGTTCTCCAAGTAACGAATTCTGTTGTTGACAGCATCAAGTTTTGATTCCACTAACGTCAGAATATCAATCTCTTCTTCTTTTTCTTCTGATGATGATTCCTTATTCGCCTTTTTGTTGGGACTTAGGGTTTTACTATACAAATTAAGAACTTCTTTAACAGCATCCAAATTTTCAGGCCAAGTTTGAAGTTCCCCTTGAGGACTCGTAATAATAGTACAACACTTGATATCACAGAGAGTTGAAAGCTCCATTGTTTTCCTCTTTATGCATTCTTTTCTGACTTGATATGTTTTGGGATTGTTTGTTTTCTTCTTGTTTTGGTTTTCTTCTGCCATGGCTAATTTCGTTGTTTGCACCCAACAATTTTGACAAAGTGAAGAGTCGTGAGAAGAATATATATAGTGATTTTCTGTTAAAAGATGGAAACCACCAAAGTATTAACATATCTCTTAATGGGTTCCTACTTTGGAAATTTACACTTTTGGTAATACAAGTTACCTAATTAAGTTGCAATTACTATTTCCAAATCCTAATTTGCATAGGAATGCTGAATACAATTATTATTATTATTATTATTATTATTATTATTATTATTATTATTATTATTATTATTATTTTTCGGGAGGTGAGAGGAGAGCATTTTTCTAATAAATCGGCTCAGTTCTATGCGCAAGACAATTTCGTTAATAAAAAAAAGTTTTTTTTGGTTTTGCTTGATGGGTATTTATATGTCAACACTTTTTTATATTTGGTTGTGTTTGGTGGTTATATATACAGATATCCCTTTCAACACTTTTCACCCTTTTCCTCCCTCTCTACTAGGAAATAAAAGTTATTTTTGTTTGGTGGGTAGAATTCTCTTAGTATACTTTCACATATTTTTCTCTAAATGTATAAGAAAAAAGTGATATGGTTTGGGTCGATATATATTTTTCCTCTACACTATCTTTCTCTATATAGAATAAAAATCTTTTGTTTGGTTTAATTGGTGTGTATTTCCTCTCTATTATATCATCTACTTTCAATCTCTATAAAGCAAATAAATTTTACTCATTTAATTTGCTTTGTATTTCTCTCTTATACTTTCACAGATTTTTTTTAGTATTTGATATAATACTAAAAAAAACACTAAAACTTATGCATAGAAGACCTCTATGAAATTGACACATGATTAAGAGAACACACTTGAGAGTAGGGCTGTGCATAATTTGGTAAATACCAAATTATCGTAACAAAATCGAAAATTTTGATATTTGGTATTCGATATGGTATTTTGTTTAAGTTTTTTTTAAAAAAATTGGTATTAAGTATGGTATTTGATATTTTAAAATGAAATACCGAAATACCGATACCATACCGAAATATATATTATATTACACAATACACATATTATTAATTATAACACAAATATAAAAAATCTAATATTTACTTTTCTTTATTCTATAAGTTTATCAATTAACTCTAAGCAAGTAACAAGACATTTCTAATGATCAAATTTATTCCTTTGCTGATTTTGGACAAAATTTTTGTCAACAAACGTTTTTAGTTTTGTACTATTGAGTACTTTAATTAAGAATATTATAGTCTATGACGCCATGCACTAGTTAGCATTCAAACCGAATAAGCTGAAGTTACCGAACCGAATAAACCGAAACCGAAAGGAGAAATCCAAACCATGCCGAATTTAATTAGGTATGGTATTGGTAAAGCATTTTAAGAAACCGAATACCGAAAATACTGAACCGAAATATCTAAATACCGTACCGTACCGTACCGACCGACGAACACCCCTACTTGAGAGACACTATCAATCTATAAATTAATATTAATTACTGGTTAAACTAATTAAAATAAGGTTAATATCAAAGAGAGGAAGAAAACAATGATAGTAAATATTGAAGGAGCCATAAATTGACTAGAATTTGGAAGCCTTGGATAGTCATCAGGTGAAGGCAAAACACAGTCTTCTCCATTGAATGAAATCTTTCTTGGAAAAACCCATCCTTCCCTAAATGTGAAAATCCCTGCATCTCTGTGCATTAATAACTCACTTTGCACATTCCCAGTTTCACCTGCTTGTAGCAACATGTCATTGTAATATTCAATCCCATAAAACATTCCTGTGTCATCTGCATTAAAAAAAAGTTAAATAAAATGTTATCATCACATGGATATAGAAGATTCATATAGACGACTCCAATGAGTTATGGTCGAGGCTAGTGGCTGGTAGACTCACTTTAGCAAGGGGTGTCATCCGACATCGCGTCATATTAAATAAGACAAAGTATAAATCAACTTGGTACAAGATGTAAAGCTTTTAAAACATCCATAGTCCAAGATAAAGACGGACCCAGGCTCTTTTAACGCTCAACTAGTGCCCCCTAAAGGCTTTTAGGGCTCAAGGTGCCGAGTTATTTAAGTTAACCGTTTTCAAGGTATACGCATATACATACACAAGACTTCTGTCGAAGTTTATAGGATCTGGTGACCCTTAAACGTTATACATAGGTTCGTCTATGGTCCAAGCCACAACCACGTTTACAAGTCGAATTGTGGAATAGACTAATACTGCTTGTACAAAATTCTGCGTACGCCACTAGCTAGTTGAGGCGTAATTAATTGATTATATCACAATCTAAAGGAAATGCTAATCTTAGGCATTGATAAAACTTACTGGTATCACCATACTGATTAAGTGGCTTGTAGTTGAAACTGAAAACCTGCGTTATGCTTCTCAAATTTGGATGCAAGACAACCAAGTTCCACTGGCTGTAGTTCTTAACATAGTTTAAGTTTCTGATAGTCATTTTAACCCTCCAATACTGTGTGTAACTCTGCTTTACATGCCAATGTATCTGAATTGGGCACATGTGTTGTGAACACTGTACTACTGGCTTTGGCGGTTCGTTATGATCTAGTTGCAAAACTGGTGGTAGCTCACCATACCTATAGTTCCAACCACAACAAAAGAAAGACATAATTAGATGAACAAGATACAAAAAATTTGTTGAGTAAGACTTGTTAATCAGGCACAAAATAATGTAATGAAAACTAAGGTTAAAGTGAAAATGAGAATTACTTCACACATTGATCTGCTCCTAGTTGTCCCTGACAACCACAGCTGCATTTGGGGCATGGCACAATTGTATTGTTGTAGAAAGCAGACAAGGAAACACAACATGTTGGAGAAGATGATGCTCTAAACTGGGAATAAGAACAAATCACATTCCAAGTTGCTGCAATAATGTTTACAAACAGATTAAAGCTGGACTCTTGAATAAATCCAAGATTTTACTATTAAAAAAAAGGGTAGTTGGTGCACAAAGCGTCCCGCATCACGTAAGGTCCGGGAAAGGGCAGCATCCAAGGGGTGTGATGTAGACACCCTACCCTAATGTAAGCATTAGTGGCTGCTTCCAAGGCTCGAACCCGTAACCTATAGGTCACTCGATCACAACTTTACCTTTGCTCCAATGCTCCCCCTTCTAAAATCCAAGATTTTACTATCAGAAAAATAATCCTATAGGATAACTAGAAGCTATATTTACTTACCAACGGCTTGAGTCTTTCGTCGTCCTTGATCCACATTGAACTTACTTGGAGGGACTTCAAAAGGATCGCCACAAGTATATCCAGGAATTCCAAGTGTGAAATTTTCAGGTACACGAGGCTCGGATCCATTATAAGAAGCACTTCCAATGTTCATCTGAAAAGAAGCACCATATTTTTCGGGGTCTTGAGTCAGAGATGTAAGTACTCCTCCTCTGCAGCAATTTGCGACCTGTTTATTATAAGGAGCTCCGGGCAGGAGGTCAATGATCACTGGCTCTTTTTCACAGCAATGGGGCGGTTGTGTTGCTTTGATCGCAGAACAATCCCCTTGCTCAGTAGCTTCAGCACCTGACATATCCCAAATTACTTCATTGCCAGGCCAACTCCAGCTTAATTTCCAACCAGGTTGATCTATGTGGCGGAAAAGTTGGTAGTTAAAGATTGAGACTTTAACCTGGTATAGACAAAAAGTTCAAACAAACAGAGGAAGGCTTGCTAATTAGTCTTCACTGCCTCTTGAATGAGATAGGCATAACAAAAAAGATAAAATACAGATTATTTTGACATATGGTTGCTAATTTCAGAGATTCAAGTCCATAAAAGCCTCAGTGAATTTGGCTAACAGGATGCAGGAAAGATTCTTGTATACCCTTTTTTTTAATTTAATAAATGTACATCTTGTCCCTTCTATTTTAAGCACATAAAACATAGCTCAACTGTCTATCTTGTGAAAATCACCAAATGAAGGGATCTGAATTGAGTTATTTCAACAACAACAACAACATAACCAATATAATCCCACAAGTGGGGTCTGGGAGAGTAGTGTGTACGCAGACCTTACCCCTACCTGACGAGGTAGAGAGACTGTTTCCGAGAATTGAGTTATTTCACCTAATTTAGTTAGATTTTTATATCTCACTTCTATAAACAAGTAATCATATAAAGTCAACTTTAACAGCTAAAACTTAGGGGTAGCCCGGTGCGCGAAGCATCCCGCGTTCATGCAAGGTCCGTGGAAGGGCCGCACTCCAAGGGAGTGTGATATAGGCAGCCTACCCTGATACAAGCATCACCTGTGCACATTCACCATAAAAAATACTCTAATTTTCAATAGGGATATACCTCAAAACCACACAAACAACATCATACATTGCTGAGGTTTATTATCAACTTCACCAACAAGGAAATACTAGAAACAGAAACATGGTAATAACACAACTGCACATGATCATATAAGAGCTCCTCCCCACTTCTTGGCATCACATGTTTCTTTTGATAACCGAGAAATCCCCGAGGGCTAGCTGGCGCACTGTTCCAAACTCAATAAGTTCTTCATGACAGCAGTTATCCTAGTATACAAGTAATAAGCAATAGTGTTGTCTGTATTTCAATGTTGGAAAAACTTACGTCTTGGCTACCTTCATTGTTTAGCATGATATCCCATCTGATAGTAATATTCCCATTCGGGTCCAGTGGATCATAACCATCTGCATTACAACTGAAATCAACCATCACAAATTCCATATGTATAAATTTCTTTTCTTATGAAATACTAACAAATCACAGATAAGTCACATAAAGACATAAAAGAACATTAAAAAGGATAGAAATAAATAATATTATCACTACTCACTGGTTGGATGAATGAAAAGGATGAGAGGTAACACTAAAATTAGGCCACAACCCATTGATCTTTGATGAAAAAATAACATAAATTCAGTGCTAATTTATTCATAAAACTTAAACTTTAGTTTGAGTTCTGCAAATGTTTAAGAGAAAGAATATGAAATGGCAGCCAAAAAGAAGGAAGAAGAAAGAAGAAAAAGAGACAATACAGTGGATTTGGTAATAAATAAGGTGATAATGAATTAAGGTAAGACATTTTTGGTTTTCCCAAAAATAGTTAAGAGTATAGACTATGACTTAGTACTAAGAATGCGTATTTCTAGGGAGAAGTTTGAATGGTATGTTACGATTCATCTCCAAATGTCTGTCGCTCACGCTTTTGGCTCTCCCTTTTTGATTTTCATTACTTACTACTCTATATTAGTGCTACTAATACTTTCCATTTTGGACCATCTAACCAATTTATTGTATTCATACTATGTTACAAATTAGAATTGGTTCCCACGTTTTGAGTTTCAACAATCCAACCTCTCTAAAATACTTTAGAGGTCGTTTGGTCCACACTAGTTATACGATATTATAATGTAAAAGCACGATATAATGATTGTTATGCGATGAATAATAATATAGGGATTGTTATGCAGTGAGTAACAGTACGACATAATTTAATACGAGTATTATTTAAAACCTCCAAATGTTGCATTAGTTATGCGAACTTTTTTTTCTTATATGACCAACCAAACGTTGCACACTTGCACTAGCTATTTCGGAATTACTATTTTTCTTAATACATTCAGCAAATCTATTATTATATAGGCAGGATTTTAGGATGGAATATTTTTTCTACTCCCTCCAACCAACGGCCCTTATCAAATAATTTTGGCTAATCGATTTCAGACAAGAAATTATTTTTTCTTAATTTATTTTATGATCATCTGAATATGTTTTTTGGAATTTTTACCTCCTATAGCAAAGGTTAACACCTTATTTATTTTAAATAAATACTATTTAAAAAAATTATATTCTATAGATACCTTTTAAGGTTTATAGCAAAATATTTAATTTTGGTTACCTCCTATCCCTAAGTCACTAGATACGCTAAAAAGTTACACTATTTTCTTTCTCTATCTACTTTGATACATCCCATTGTAAAACATAACCCTTTATCTTAATACCCTCCAGAATTTCACTACACTTATCAATTGTGAACAGTCTTCTCCTCCTCAGAAAATTCTTCGGCTAAATTCATCGGATCTTCACCGGCAGGCAAGCAAAAAATCACAATCCAAGAAAACTAGATAAGTTCAAACGGAAACGTGCTCTCCGTAGTCCACTCTCAAACAATTTGGTTCTAATTACAAGGAGATTGGCTGGCCTAAGTCAGAATCCTATGGAGAATGTCTTGTTCACCTGCTTCTCGAGTGTATGTTTATCCCTTCACTCCCAAGTAATTCAAAGGCTTGTTTGTATAATCATGGGTTCTTTATCCCTATGGAGTGTATTGTTTAGATCTCTCATTCTTTCATATGGAGGTTCGAAATCAAAGCAACGGCCATCGAAATCAAAGCAACGACCATGGAAATCAAGCCCTAGGAGTGGAAAGGCCTCATCAAAATCGACGGTGTTCCGATCGAGTAGTCCAGCCTGAAATCCTCCGTTACAAAGCTTTCGAACCAATTCTCCTCTTAGGCCGCCACAGATTCGCCGGAGTGGCTTGATGTATTTCACTGTATTCATTGTCTTTTTTTTTTTCATTGTAACTCAATGTATCTCGTTGTATTTCGTGTATTTCATTGTATTCACTGTTTTTTTTCATTGTATTTCAATGTATCCCGTTGTATTCTATGTATTCATATGTTTTTTCAATTAATATAATTTATGTATTCAGATGTATTATATAATTTCTCTGAAGATTGCTATGTTTTTGGGGATTTTTCCAGTTGAGAATCTTTTTTATAACCGGAAATACAAATTTTGTGTATTATAGTTGAGTTTGTTGAGTTATATTAGTAGTCTATTATGTTAATTGATACACTTTCCGTTTAAAAACAGTGTAATCTCCTGTTTCACGCCGTGAATTCAGTCGAATACAGTAATCTGTCCAGCTGTAATCCCATGTTTCACGCCATGAATACAGTCGAATACACTCGAATACAACAACTGATTAGCTGGACTTCCCTGATTCACGCCTATTTTTGCTACTGTATTCATGAATATAATAGCTTAAATACATCAAATACATCATATAACCACAGAAAAGGTATTTATAATCCGTAATATAGTAAATGGTATCTATAGATGGCTAATTACTACTAAAAGATAGTGCTTTATGAAAATTTCTCTTTTTTATTTCTTCCCTTTTTATAGAAATTCTGGCTTCATTGTTTCCAACTGGAACGATGCATAAGCAAAGGTTTTAGTAAATCTTTTGGGTTATTATAGAAAGACAGTTGTCTGAGACTGTAACCCATATATACAAATTATCTCATACTCAATGCAAATGTCAGTCTCTATCAAACTCTTTAACAAGCAAAATTTCCAGAATCCATGTAATATCATTATCAAACTTATGCACATAGAGCAATTTCTGTACTAATTCATTTCTTTATATAGTACACAAAACTACAAATTTACAGTACGTCTATACTCTTTTAACTTTCTTAGCTGGGATATGAAAGATAAAGTGCATCAGAACACAACTAATGTCTGGACTTTAGCCCTGCATTGCACAAAAATGTTAAAAACCACCAGTGGCTCAATAATTTAACTTAATATACCAAGAAAATTCCATGATCATCCAAATACAAAATGACTTCAGGAAAACAGTCCCTTTTGCCTAATAACTCAAAGTATACATCAGAAATGTTCAGTTTTCTCCTTGTAATGGAACAGAATGGATACATTTCTTTTTGTATTGTCTAACAACACAAACAGGTTTTCGTTGATTTCAGAAATTGCCAGACGCTTAGGCATGTCGGCGTCTCTTGAAATTATCCTCATTAAAGGACTCCCAGTTCTTATGATCAAGAACGCTTAAGTCATCAAGATCTGCAATGGCAAGCAAATATTGAGTAAGCTTCATGAGCTCCTGATCAGTGCTTCGGTTCGCGTGTGCCTTCCTGAATGGCTTTATAACCAACCCATTTTGTGGGTTCATCACAAAGTTCCTTCGCAAGTCATCAAACATTATAGTGTTTTTGGGACTGTAAAACTGCACAATATCAAGATTACATGTTAGTGTGCCAAATATCGACAAAACCTGTTCTGCATAAATGTTCTGGTTATGGCACCAATCCATTTACAATCAAGTTACCATATTTTGGACACTTATTAAGAATATATCCAACTCTAGATAGCTATGCCAACATAACATTTAATCATCTCTCTAGGCCATAAATCCATTGAAGAAAGAAGCAACTAAATTACCTCTGGAAAATGAGCCCAAATTAGGCCTAAAGGCTTGCAATCAAAAACTCCATAACGATCTGATTGTACTGTTATCATTGCCATATGATCCAGCAGAGCTGTAATTTTATAATTTGGATTATCGAGTACACCAAGTTGTCCCATTTTTAGCTCAACCCACTTCATGCTGCAAAAATGAAATTGAATAAGGCAATGCATATAGTTTCGAAGCTCTTTTCCAATCATACTCTGATTTTCAAAGATATCATAGTTATCAATGATTCTAACAGCAAATTCTGACCTGGTTGCCGACCATATCATGATGTCATATTCTGCATAAGCAGCTGAGAGAAACTCATGAAGATCTGCATGCAAAAATTGAAAAGGTTAAACATTAAACGAGCTAAGTATAACTGGAAATGTACAGGTAAGACACTCACAAGGCCTCATAAGTTGAAGTGGGTTTTCCGCAGTTGATCGGTGATCAAACAAAGTATAATCAATATCCAGAACAAGCAGCTTTTTTCCTTCACGGCAAGGATTACGGAGCTCAATCTGAATAATTGCAAACATGATCATCACAAAAAAAGGCAAGTGAGAAAGTATGACCTTAACCCACGCAAAATATCAGCTGTTCTTATTGAAAGTATATACTGGACAAAATTTCAATACAACTATACTTCGTTATATATAGTTGAATATACAGCACCAACAGTCCAATCTAAAACTTAGATAAATAGAAAAATAGTTAATAATTTGTGCAAAAGGTTGAAATAAACCTTTAAAGACCAGAATGATAGGGTCAATTGGGATCACGGGTTCCATGCACACAACGAAACCATCATAAAGGATACATTCTAGTGTTTTTGTAAAAACTATTACTATAATGAGTACCTTATATCAATTAATTACCAATACAAATTTTTTTGAAAGTGGTAACAGTATTATCAATAACAAATTAAAGCAATCTCTTCATCAAGTTCCTAAATAGTTCTACCAAGACTTTCAAATGACAGCTGGATTCTAGGATTTAGGATCTTTTTCTACCGAACTAGGCACTTATTGCGCCATTTGCAGTAACATAACTTCATTCAAGTAGTCTTCTTACTTCAATTAGTAATTTGAATGGCCAATGGAAGGTCATATAGCCCTAATATCATAGTCATTTTGTTGAGACTTGCCACCTCCACAACATTAGCCTCTATATATTGGGGCTTAACGCAAATACAATGCAGTCTATTACCTATTTGCCCCTCAATTCGTATCTTGTTCCCTCCTCAACAACCACATTCTCACTGGGCCATCACAATTTGTCTTAAAGTGTGATTTCATACGTAAATTTTCATTGTTACATAATTATCTTTTGTAAAGATGTAGATTTATCGAATATTTGGTCAAGAGGATTCTCATGACGAGAATGTAACACCAACACCATGAATGTAAAATGCACTTTTATTATGATGGTGGTATTTGGGCTAAATTGAGCACACCTTGATTAGTCCACCAGTAGCCTGCTACAGCCCATAATCATGGATGCCAGGTAATCTTATTCTTACCCACCAAGGCTGGAGGAGATGCGCTCATACTGAGTGTTATAGATGGATTTGAACTAGATATCTCCACGTTGTTACTCCTATGCCTCAACCACTCAGCTGTTTATTTTGGGACGAATAGAAAATGTAATGCAAAAAGATCCTGAATTACAAGTATTGCATTCTAAATCCCTATATAACTCTTGTCTATTATAAAATTTTGGTCATGCATTCTTCTTCATGATTATAGAAAAGAATTCACTCTATTTCTTA